TTATTCTTGCAGATTGACAGGGTGGGGGCTTATAAAGGTGGTCTCATCTGGATATGTAATCATCTAAGTCAGGGCTAACTGGTGGCCCATGGGCTCCTACCTGGGCATCACTTCTCCACTTCTTAAAATGTTGCTTCAATGGGGTCTCTGTGTTCTCTCTTTTTTCCTCTGTATTTTGCTTCCTGCCTCCATTCCTGGAGGTGGAGTGGGGTGGGATGGCATAGCCTGTGAGGCCCAGGCAGGGCATGGTATGGCTTACTCAGGGAAATGGGTGGGCAGCACCACGTGTGGGCCATACCACATGTAGCCCTGGTTCCTGGATGTGGCCTTTGGACATTATATGAAACAAATGAACAATAATGTAGCTTTGCATACAGTCCCATCTCACCGTTCTCACTGTGCAAAGTACAAAACAAGGTTAAAGTTGCTATGTGAAAGACCTAGTCCCACAAAAGGAAGGAAATGAGGTTACACCAACCAGCAGTTCTGCCTCCCACCCAGCCACAAACACCTTTCTATAACCATGCAAAGCCTTAAATCATTCTTTTACCTCCTGTGTACATCTCGTGACCAGATTATTTTCCCCCCACATGTGTGAAGAATATAGCTTGCTAATTGGTTATTGGCAGAAGAGGTTATGGTGTGGGGATGGGGTAACATACCACACCCTTTTTGTTTTCAAGTTGTGGTAAACTCTTTCTGGGTGGAGGCAGTCGTGTATTTATAAGTCATATAAGATTATTGGGTAAGGCTGCTACATGTAAGTTGTTTTCAAATGCTCTTTTGTTTTCCTTTCGTTTTTGGTGCATGTCATCTTGCACTATTTTCATTAATTAGTGCAAAGGAAGTAGTTTAGCAGGAGAGGGGTCTGCGTCATCTTTAACAAGACTAAGATGGAACGTGTCTTCTGTTTATGTTGGCATTCAGTTGCCTTTATTTTTCTAAATTCTGCATGTGTTAACACTGACTTGGTACAGCTGTTGTCATGTGACAGTTAGCATTAGAACAACACTTCCTTTGTGTCAACCAGGTGTGTCAGACATGCCCATGGGCCAGAAACATCCCATGGAGCCCCATAATCTGGCCCCCAGGACTGGCCCTGTGTACGAGTCTTGGGTTCATTTGGACCAGTATCCCAAACTGGTTTAGGTGGGTGCCACCTGTGCTGGAGTAGGCATGTGGGGGGAGGCAAGGTCCATAGGTCTGATACGGTCCATGGACTGACCCTGTGCCACTTATCCAAGCCCTCTAGGCCAGGTGAGTTTGACACCCCTGATGTAAAACTTCCCTTGGAAGTGGGAAGAGTACATAAAGCCTGACTTGTTGAATATATATGCTATCTTCAGAGATTAATGGCCTGGTCCAGAGTATGGCTTGCATTCAGTGGAAATCACTGCTGTAACTTGCATGTGAATAGTTTCAAGTGATTTTCACTTTGAAAAAAATGGAGAAGTCTTATCACATTTTGAGTGAGCAGAAAACAACACTTTCTAGACTAAGCAGTCTAGAAATGAAGTCCTTGGCTGTAGCGTCACTGTTCCTTTCCTTTTTTCAAAATGAAAGTGTTAACTATGTATCTCTGCCACATGCCTATAATTAGTGTAGCAGCTTGCTCCATCATGTTTTGTTCACTTAGTTTCACCCATTAAGGTTATTTATCTAAGCCACTTAATTTTCAGTTGCATTTTCAGTGTAATGGACAGTGCTACTGATGTTAACCATGACTGTAATCCCAGTTTCCCCCCCCCCTCCAGGAAGGCCTGGCTTAATCTCTAATGAAGTTTCAGTTGACAGGCTTTTACACTTAATTACTTTTTAATAACAAATTACAGCATGTGGTCTTAACTGAGGAATTTATATTACTTAAAGAAAATTTCATATTTCATTAATATCCAGTTCAATCTGTACACAATGGTGACTTACTTGACTTAAAAATGTAGTTGTAATGTTACATTGTTCCCTGTCTTTGCTTAACACACAATTATTTACAATGCATTATTTGATAATGCTAAACATTGTCATATGAATGGCTTCTCTGTAATCTTGTTTGCTAGCTTGCGAAGCCTAATGATTCACAGTGGATTCCTGTTGCCAGTGTAAACATTTACTATATATTTACATTCTTTTGTCTCATAGTTGTAACGTACCCTTTAGGGTCAGAGTTTTCCCTCAAGAGTTTTCCCTTGAGACCAAACCTTCAGAGTGAAGAAAGCCTAATTAGCGTGAAGGAGGGTGTCACCCTGTTTTGGGGCTCCCTGATTTAAGAGCAGTACTGATTCTAGTCAAAGGAAGCTGTACCCAGGCTTTCTAAACCAGAGAAATGGTAGTAAGTGGTCAGCATGGGAGTGAAATGAAGCAGAAATTGACTGGCACCCTTAACCTCCACTATCTTCCTAGAGCATTGGTTCTCAAAGGTTTTTTTTTTCACAGACCACTTGAAAATTTCTGAGGGTCTCGGCGGGCCACTTAATTTTTTTTTGTTCTACAAATCCAAGCACACAACTCATATTTTAATATCAGTAGTCTTACCTTACAAGTACAGATATTCTCGATTGTTCCGCAACCTTCCTGCAGACCACTTGAATGGAGCTCACAGACCTTGTGGTGGTCCACGGATCGCAGTTTGAAGAACCTCTGTTCTAGAGTATGTTGTTTGGCTTTTTTCCACATAACTGGGCACTGATATGCTTTTTTCCATTGAAAGGTCCTATACTCATCACTTAGTGGAAATATTTTGCATGTCCATTATTTAAAATGGAAATTCCCACTAACTTCTAACATACCTTCCCTGGTGCCCCAGGATGTGTACTCTTGCATTTGATATGAATGCACGGACGTGAGTGTTTTGGCAATCTTGTTCTATAAAGCAGCCATAAATCTTGGCAAATGTTGGATTTCTTGCATAAAATCAAACATGGTACAGCATCAGCAGGTCAGACTCTTCCTTGAACTCTTGACCAACTAATTAAACTAATGTGTGCTTGTCAGTGGGAGAGAACCTCCCTGGCTAATGCAAGAAAAAACAGGAAATGATCTTCCTACAGAAATGAGTTGGGATTTGGGTTTTCTATTTCCCAAACAAAAATGTGAGTTTTCACTTTTAAAGCAGGGGCGGGGGGGGGCTGAG